ATATATATATATATATATATATATATATACACACACACACACACACACACACACACACACATACATACACATACACACATACACACACTATATATTCTATATATTCTTATATATAAAGAAGTTTCTTATTTAAATGAATCCCACTGAGTCACTTATCTGGGTGTGTTTCCTGCATATGATTTTTGCAACAAACTCTGATAGTACCTAGCATGGTCCAGGCCACGACACTGTTTGGCTCCACGCAGGTGGCGTCCTCAAAAAAGACTTCAGCCTCTTCGTAATTCTGCAGCATCACAGCCATGATCCCACACAACAGCACACTGAACAGAGGAGAAACAACGAATCAAAGGAAGGGCTCATTGTAAGAACAATCCCTTACATCCCATCCTGGGGTGGTTCCAATCATGGCACATGGTTTAGAGAGCCCCCAAAGCACATTTATTCGCAAAGAGAAGCCAATCAGTTTGCAATTTACAATGACTCTGAGAATGATCTATCATGATGATGGCTTTTGGGATCGCATGCCAAAAGTGGGGGGAGCGTGAGGTGTGTGTGTGTCATGCACTGGTGTGCCCATACCCATAATACCCTGTCTGCGACCCCTGAAGCCTCCAGAGGGTAAAAAAACAGCCATACGAGCAAACCGTTCCTTAATTTCTGGTTTGCCCGTAGGGCGGGTTTTTCACGCTTCCTTTTCAAGGAAGCCTCCGGAGGGCAAAAAACGGCCTTAAAAGAAGGCCAAAGTCAGCTGGCTGGCGCGCACATGCGTGCTGGAGCTGACAAGGCAACGCCTCATGTGCCCCAACAAATGGCTTCGTGTGCCACTTGTGGCACACATGACATAGATTCACCATCACGGATCTATCACTATTATTGTGTGTACACTGAGAGCTTGTGCACAGAAGACAAATCCCTTGTGTGTCTAATCACACTTGGCCAAGAAGAAAGCCTATTTGCCTGGGACAATCGTGACCTGGATGACTGAGAATCTCTACGGACATTTAACTATGCAATTTGGGACGGACACCCTTGGAATGGGGCAGGAGTAGGAATGGATTTCCAAAAGAATTGCCGCCATTCCAGTGGTGGGATTCAAATAATTTACCAACCAGTTCTCTGCCCTAATGACCAGTTGAGTAGATGTGGCTCGGTGGTCATGTGACTGAGTGTGCGTGGCCAACTCAACGTCACTCACGTCGATGAGCACTTCATCTTAGCTGTTACAATGTACTAAGAGTTAATCAGAGAGGCAGTTTCTGTAAGCAGGGCAATAAAGATTAGGCTAGAAACAACACCAGAATGTTTCCTTACTGCCTTCCTTATAGGATTTG